AGAGAGAGAGAGAGAGGAGAGAGAGAGGGAGGAGAGGAGAGAGAGAGAAGAGAGGAGAGAGAGAGAGAGAGAAGGGAGGAGAGAGAGAGGAGAGGAGGAGAAGAGAGAGAGGAGAGAGAGAGAGAGAGAGAGAGAGAGAGAGAGACGAGAGAAGAAGAGAGAGAGGAGAGGAGGGAGAGAGAGAGAGAGAGAGAGAGGAGAGAGAGAGGGAGGGAGGAGAGAGAGAGAGAGAGAGAAGGGGGGGAGAGAGAGAGAGAGAGGGAGAGGAGGAGGAGAGAGAGAGAGAGAGGGGAGGAGAGAGAGAGAGAGAGGGAAGAGAGGGAGAGAGAGAGAGGGGAGAGGGAGAAGGGGAGAGAGAGAGAGAGGGGAGGAAGAGAGAGGAGGGGGAGGGAGAAGAGGGGGGAGGGAGAGAGAGAGGGAGAGAGAGAGGGGGAGGGAGAGAGGGGAGGGAGAGAGAGGGGGAGGGGAGAGAGAGGGGGAGGAGAGAGGAGGAGAGGAGAGGGGAGGAGAGAGAGGGGAGGAGAGAGAGAGAGAGAGGAGGGAGAGAGAGAGAAGAGGGAGGGAGCGAGAGAGAGTCTGTATACAAACAGTATGTGCATGTATGTTTGTGTGTGCGCGGGCGAGGTGCGTATATACAGTATGTATGTGCGGTGATCTGCATATACTTGACGTTCACTTTCATCTTTCCCTAATACAAGTCCACCTACAAACAAAGCTGTATGGAAATCGAAGAAAGAACATATCGACGGCAGCCACGACTCCAAAATCCTATTCATACACGAACAATCCCCTAACAACAAGGTGCGGTGGTTGTCCAACGTGACAAGTTCTCCCTGCCAGTCCATGACACGAACGTTTTATGCACTCCCTTTCATTTTTCCCATCCTCCTTTCATTTTCAGCTAGCGAACTCTTCCCTGCAGTGCGAGAGAAAATGAAGAGTGAATGTATATATGCAGTGTCGCCCGCGTATTGTCACAGAACACTTCGCCTTATCCAGGAGGAACATCCATTGGCTTGGCAGCCTGTGCTAATCCTGCATGGCGACATCTCACTTGATCTTTGTGCCTGACCCCATATCCTCTCGGCGGGGCATGCATCATTTATCCTTGAAGTTTGGTCCGCGTGTGACCGCTCCAGGTTGCAAAGCGCAATCCCGTTATCTGCCTAAAAATGAGCCGTGAAAACGCGCGCCAATGAACGGTTCCTCATCCGAATAGTCGACTGATCCTCTTGCTTCTCTGGCGACGTGTTCATTTCTGCGTTTCTACAGCTACACGCAACAGTTATTCATCCATTCCCAACGTCATATATATTGAGGAGGTAACAGAACGTGTGGCAACTGTTACGGCACCCCAGGTATATAAACTGCAGAAATCGGCCGCGCCGTTCAGTCAGTGCTTATCTGCGGTCACCTACATACTCTCACCATGAGATTAGTGAGTATCACCAAGTGTTGTACTACTTAAACCAATGTACAATTTTTAAGGTGACCGACGAAATCTATTTATATTTCTCTTAATGCGACACTTCCTCCTTGACGTTACGTATGTCATTTTATACAAAAGAGGCTGTTTAACCAAGTCACTTCTTCATCATCATCTTCTTACCGTCAATATCAACAGCATCATTTCGTGTTAAGAAACGCATAGTAGTGCTTTTCCTCCCCCCAGTGATATAGTCCAAAACGCGTTCTCTGCGGAAATTAGCGACTTCGGTACAACCAATCAATGCAATCACATTCAAATCGACGATGTCGCCCTACTCAAGCCTTCACTCACCTCCAACTTTCATGTCTTGGTTGAGCACACCGCCTTGAACTGTCAGCGCCCATTACCTCTCCCTCAGGTAACTCACGTGACTCACTCCCGTCGGAACGCATGAACGGGGCCAACCCCCACTCCCCCCCGGCTGCTCTCATTCCTGATGTCCCATTGCAAATCTTTCTGTTGGACTGGCGCTGCACAATCAACTGCCCAGTACTCCTTTATCACGGCAAATCCTCATTTTTTTCTACAGCGGAATTCACAAATTCATTTAGGTCGACATCAAAACCTGTAAGAAAATCCGCTGAGACACAGCAATGCTCTTATGGATGCTGTACTGCAGTTACATGTCCATTGTTTGGCTTATAACAGTCATTTTGACAAAATTAAAAAGCAATGTTACAGCATACGTTCACTACACGAAGTGCTCCTTCATGCAGCTCTTCTCTTTTTCAGTGTTGTTTTGTGGACGCATTTGATCTTACGGAATAACAAATATATCGGAATTACACATAATAAGTAAATCATTATATGCGGCATCTGGGGGGAAAAGCTTGTGCTTTCACGCGCGTTCATAAGAACAAAAAATCCCGTTACAGACGTGATCTTGCGGACCTTTGTGTGGAGGCGGTGCGTGCGCGATACAACCTTGGATTTCCTTGCATTTCATCGACGGATAAGTCGTTCTCGCGCAAGTTATTCAATCCTGAGACCATTTCGCCATCATACTCCGTGTAATCTCTATTCCATCGGACACGCAAAAACGATTATGTGCAACAGATTGTTCCCGCCATTCCATAAGGATCGTGCTGACCCGGAATTTCAAAAGCCTGAATTCTGATAATATCCAGTTTCTTACACGTGGGTAGGAGGTGAGGGGGAATGAAGCTAGTCCAGTGAGTCGGCCGCTCTGGTGCAACAGTGAAAGTGAGAATGACCCAGCAGCCCCCCCCCCTCACCCACCCACACACCCCTCCCTCTCCCCACCTACAATCATTACTGTTTCCCGAAATAAACCTGTCTGTTTCATTACTATTCTTCTTCTATTGCTTTTTTATAGTATCTGTTTATTCATTTTTCTAATCTCCATTTCTCATAAATCATCGGCGTATTCCAAGTTCACCTACTCTCTCATAAACTAATCGAACATTAACGATCATCAACGTATCTCTCTCTCACTACATACACACTCCATACCTTGCTCATCATCATCAACCCTTCATCAAAGCAGCCAACGATCTCTGTCTCTAATTCATGCACTTGAGATCAACCCCACCCCTTAAATGCCCCTATCTGCACTTTAGATCTACTCGCTGTCCCTGCCACGTCCTAACCTACTAATCAACCCCGTACCCCTACCCACCACCTACCATATACCCTAAACCACTCTAACACGAAATTCCGGTTCCGTCACTGCCTCCTCGAACCCAGCCGAACCATCTGGCGAGTTCCTCTGCCCATCAATGTTTTTCCCCGAAACCAGTACCCACTTGAGCCAAAAACTAGGTAGTGTCAAATAAACCACTTTACCTTCGACAACCTACTTTCACTACATTTTGTGCACCGCGGAGTGATCATCTGAATATCGACATTTGAGACAATTGTGCGCGCGCGACGATTTCAACCACTCACTTGGTTTCTTATAAAAATGTGAACACTATCACATTTTTTTTCTGATTTATACATATGCATATATGCTTATGTGTGTGTGTATGTGTGTGTGTGTGTGTGTGTGTGTGTGTGTGTGTGTGTGTGTGTGTGTGTGTGTGTGTGTGTGTGTGTGTGTGTGTGTGTGTGTGTGTGTGTGTATGTGTGGTGTGATGTGAGTGTGTGTGATGGAGTGTGTGTGTGTGAGTGTGTTGATTGTGGTGTGTGATTGTGTGTGTGTGTGAGTGTGTGTGATTGTGAGTGTGTGTGATTGTGAGTGTGCGTGATTGTGAGTGTGCGTGATTGTGAGTGTGCGTGATTGTGAGTGTGCGTGATTGTGAGTGTGCGTGATTGTGAGTGTGTGATTGTGAGTGTGTGATGTGAGTGTGTGTGATTGAGAGTGTGTATGATTGTGAGTGTGTGATTGTGATGTGTGAGTGAGTGTGTGTGTGTGTGTGTGTGTGGTGTGTGTGTGTGTGTGTGTGTGTGTGTGTGTGTGTGTGTGTGTGTGTGTGTGTGTGTGTGTGTGTGCGCACGCATGTACATACACGTGTGAATGCATAAGGTTGGCAACAAAACCACTATTCTACTTGTACTTGTACTACTAATCTCCTGAATTACAGTTTGCTCTAAAAATCTAATTTACCTTAAGTTTTACAAGATTTTCTGATATTCATGAGCTAGCTAGGCATATTTTACAAACAATTGTAGTCTGTTTTTGCAATCCCTGCATTTCTATTAATAGTAACCTATTTTTTTTACACAGCTTCTGCTCTCACTGGTGTTGTGCAGTTTTGGAGTACTGGTGGCAAATACACTCGATATTCGTCCCATCTCCATAGAAGATGTTCTCAGGGCAAATCCTGGCCTAAAGGCTGAACTAAAGAAGAAAATTGAAGAGAGGAAAAATGAACCCACAAGTGTTCCAGCCACTGCCTCAGCCCCTGCAACCACTGCAGCAGCAACCACCACAACCACCACTACAACACCAACTCCTCAAGCTGATACTCCTCCTTCCACAACCCCCGAATCTACAACTAAAGCTACAAGGCAACCTGGCCGTCGACGCCGGCCTGCTGGAGCTGCTCGGCGCAGGTTGAGGGTTTCTGACAACAAAGACGAGGAAGCACCCATTCAAAATGGCCGAACATTCCCACAATAGATACAAAAAAACAAAAGAAAAAAAAAAACAATTGCTGGCTAGACTGCCAGTGAATGTGGTGAATGGAGATTCCAAATACAAAGAACAGTACATTCAAAATATAATGCCAAGAAGATACAAAAAAAAAAAAAAAAAGTTAAACCAATTTCTTTTGGACTACACTTTGTTAAATTATTTAGACATCTTTGAAATATTCTACATATGAGAACTTGTCACTTGCCTCATATATTATTTTCAAATCTTTAATAAATGGAGATCTAATTCACCAACTTACTTCTGAAGTGCTTGAAAATGTCCAGACTGTGAGATCTGTGAAATTACTAAAGATTTTCTCTACATGTACACTTTCACATCTAGTAGCTTTAAATTTTCTTGAAAAATGTTTCTTCCAAAAATAGTTTGTCTTTTCTGAAGCTTTTGAAATATTTTGTCTAAACCAAACAACTATCATGGCATTTATTTTCAACCAAACTCTTCTACAAACATTTGTGACCTGAATGTTAAAACATTGAGCAAATTGAATGATGTTCCCAGGATCTACATCCAGCACTTTAACATTTGCCACTTTGTAACCTGCATGGTTTGTTTCTTAATATATTATGTTAAATATTTGTTCTAGTTCTACTCCCTTTTCCTGCTTTGTTACAAGTGACAAGCCCTTGTTAAAACAATAGCTCATCACTTGCAGATCCACTGATAAAGCTGGATATTTTTGTAGATTCATAAGTGTAAAGATGGCAATCTCTACCAAAGAAGACAACAAAATGCAAGAAAATATACAAACACAGTACTGGAGAAATAATTATAAATGTGGAAAGCTATTGCTATGTACATCAAACATTTTTTAAACAAGGACAAATGTAGACCATAATCTAAACACCACATTTAATCTAAAGAGTGATTATAGCTAAACATTACAGAGGTACAAGGATACGCAAGAAACATTAAAGACAATAATGACAGTCTTCACATTTAGCAAAGTAATCCCACACTAAAACTCTTTTAAACCAATACAGCACTTGGAGTTTTACTTATTATTTTCCAGCAATAATGAAATGTTAAATCTGACAAAAGTTGACTGTAGTTTTCCACCTTATGATGAAAGGCTTCAACAAACCAACAGAAACCCCCTGAAATTTCCACAAATATATTTTACCTCAAACAAAGGAAATAATTTCTGGAAAATACACACTTAATATGTAAAATCAATTGAGTAATAGTTTATACCACAAGAACAAGGTCTCCAAGAGTCTTTAAATGGAAAGGTCACAATGTCAATTTCAACCAAAGAACATATTGAATGATAAAGAAACTTTTTAAACATGAAGATTCTGTTGTAACAAAAATATGCCTTTCTTGATCATGCCTAAAAGCAAAAGACAATGAAGAGGAAGACAATAACACAAATGAGGGAAGGTGAAAGCTTAGTGATAAATGGGGGTAGTAGGTGGAGGTAGGATGAAGGATAAGGAAAGAAAAGCATCAATGTAACATGAGGAAAGAGTAGAAAGATGACCGTGACCAAAGAGCAGGAATTGAAAAAAAGGTATGAGGAAGAGGAAAACATTGAAGGGACATGGAAGAGTAGTAGGGAGGAGGAAGAAGTAGTAGTAATTGGGAGGAGGAAGGAGGCAGAGGAGCAGGAGGACATGACAGAGGGGAAGGAGGACACAACAGAGGGGCACAGGGAAGAGGCAAAGGAGGAGGAGAATACAGGAGGGTAAAGCAGAGGAGTGGGAGGAAAAGTAGAGGAACAGGAGTAGACAGCAGAGGAACAGGAAGAAAAGGTAGAGGAGCAGGAAGTGAAGACAGAGGAACAGGAGGAAAAGGTAGAGGAGCAGGAAGTGAAGACAGAGAAACAAGAAGAATATGTAGGGGACCAACAAGAATGGGCAGAGAAACAGGAGGAATCTGTAGGGGACCATCAAGAATGGGAAGAGAAACAGGAGGAATATGTAGGGGAGCAACAAGAATGGGAAGAGAAACAGGAGGAATATGTAGGGGACCAACAAGAATGGGAAGAGAAACAGGAGTAACAGAGGAGCAGGAGAAATAGGCAGACGAGCAAAGGAGCAGGGGGAATAGGGCAGAGGAGACGAATAACACAGAGGAACAGGAGGAATAGGCAGAATATGTAGGGGACCAACAAGAATGGGCAGAGAAACAGGAGGAATCTGTAGGGGACCATCAAGAATGGGAAGAGAAACAGGAGGAATATGAAGGGGACCAACAAGAATGGGAAGAGAAACAGGAGGAATATGTATAGGACCAACAAGAATGGGAAGAGAAACAGGAGTAACAGAGGAGCAGGAGAAATAGGCAGACCAGCAAAGGAGCAGGGGGAATAGGGCAGAGGAGACGAATAACACAGAGGAACAGGAGGAATAGGCAGAATATGTGCCAAAGCAAGTAAGGGCACTGCTTTTGAAAGCATTCCATGACCATGATTCATTAATACATGAAATATAAAGAATAATCAAAACCTCAAGAGTTAATTCATCATTGTGTCATGAGAAAAGTTTGCCTGAGGGGTGGGTAATGTGAACATGCCATTGTAGAAGAATTTGTTGAGGGCCAGAGTGACAGGAACATGCTGTCATGAGAATTTAAGCTGAAGGCTGAGGTGACTAGAATGACTTGCCACAAGTGCATAAAGCTCTTGGGAGGTGATTAGACTCAGTGGGCATTTATAAAAGGGGCTATTGCACTATTTCCATGAGCCATGACTGGAAGAGCACCAGCTCTAGGGAGCACATAATTTCCATACTCAGGATCCTATTCCTGCCCACTGTGACAAGCAGTGCAGGAAATAGAATATTTAAAATGATACAAATAACAAAATGTTACTAATTGTTATCATTCTTGAACTGAGTTCTGGACTACCTAGAGAGGTGATATGGACTCTGTGCAAGGAAAAGTCTATTATCACCTGGATACAGCATAACAAATAACAAATAAAGACATGGGGAAATGGCCAAAAATCTAAAAAAGCTTATGCAGAAAAGGAGGAAATAACACTGCAAAGGGAAGGCACAGAGTCTTGTCACAGCACATAATTGTTTGTATGTGCCTGGCCTACAAGCCACAGATCTGTCAGACTGGCTGCTCAGCTTAGCACAATGCCTGGACTTTGGGCCAAATGCTGGCAGCGAAGCACCAGGATCCTAGGGGTTAGTCAAATAGTTCTTACTCCTTCTGAAGGCAATAGTAGGATTCACAGCAAGACCTATGATCCTACTTGGCAACTTCCTCTTCTAAACTGTCAGAATCATTCTTTAATCATCACTTTATTGAATATTTATTCATTAATTAATTTTCATGGTATACTACTAATAAATGAGTGAACAACCATGGCATAAATAACTTACATCCCTGACCAGGATCCGAACCTGTATCTTTGCAGGCAGGTAACTCTGCCAACTGAGCTACAAGACCCATTAAAAGGAGTATGCAACTAGGAGCTATCTAGCTTCCATAGACATTACCTATGCTCCTTTTAGTGGTTTGTGTAGCTTAGTTGGTAGAGTATCTGTCTTGCAGTTACCTGCCTGCAAAGAGATAGATTCGTACCCTGGTCGAGGAGGCAAGTTATATGTTCATCATATCAATGCGGTAGAGAATTATTCCATCTTTCTTAACCAATTGTACTTATAGATACTTTTCACACAGTAAAGCAATGCAGCACACAAGAATTATAAATTGTTGTGGATATCTCCCAGTATTTTAACATTGAAAATCATAACAAAATCACAAACAACCTCTTACAACCTCTTTTTTAATGATTATTGAACACAAAAGATTGTCAATATTACTTTAGGTCCCAATGATATAGACCAAAATACACACAGTTCCAACATATGCTTGTTATTCACACATGCATGCTATAAATTAGTCCATTACTTATCCTTTCAACAAATTGCATAGATTGCCAATGGTTGTTTGCATAAATGTGAATAATTTAGTATCAAAACTGATAAATAAATGATTATCTTCAAAATGAAGAATCCAATTATGACAATCTATGAGGGGAGTCACCAAGTTAGATCACATGTCCTATCCTGAATCTTCCTATAATGCTTAACCTATTGGATGCTCCATTGCCATCACATGGCTTAAATTGCAGGCATTAGGTTTACATAAGCAGCCACTCTGACAGGTGCATGACTTGTAGAGACTATACTTCCTTTGCGATGTTATTTTCTCTTTCTGGATAAGTGTTTTAAATTTTTTTGCCATTCTCCTATGTCCATATTTGTCATTTGATTTGCTTTATCCAGATGGTAATAGACTGTTATCCTTGCACAGACTCCATATCATCTCCCTTGGTAATCTAAAACTTGGTGCTATAATAATAAAAAAGTAATATTTTGTTATTTGTCATTTTTTCGTAACATTAAATTTTCTGTAATACAACTTGTACCGTTGGTTATGGTGGTCAGGAATAGGATCCTGAGCATGCGAAATAGCATCCTGCCTGAAGATGGCACTCTTTCAGTCATGGCTCATTGACACTACATTCCACCCTTATTTATCAATGGAAATGATGTAAAAGCTACAAACATGTAATGTCTACTGTAGATTTATTATAAGATGTTTCCACAAGTGCAATGTTTATGATCTCTGTACATCTGTTATTTTGAGATAATGATAAAAAAATTTGAAGTGATATAATGTGGATAATACATTTATAAATTTTACTAAGGTTTGGTAAATTTTTGTAGCAAGTGGGCTTTTGACATTAGAAAAATAAGCAAAAAATTCTTGATACTTTCTGAAGATTGACATTACTTTGTACTGGTCATTAACTGTCTGACACTCATTAATCCCTTGCCATCGGGTGACATGTACTTACATGCTATGGCTGTTGTGGACAGAGTATCACATCACATCATGACCATTCCTGCACCATTGGCTCATCAGATGGAGCTTATTTTTTTCCGATATTAGCAGCTTCATTTCAATGGTAAATCTTATAGGTAATAGCACCTAAAGTGAAGGTAAACCTTCAAATTTTTTATATTATCAAATATTATAGCAAAATAAAAGCTTTTAGGTGCCAAATGTTGCCCACAAACTACCAAATGAGCCAGGTACAGACGGGGAAACTGTTGATGCATGCCAACAATCCCACAATCATGTCCACTAGTTAAAGTCTTTTACCCAGGATTACTGAGTTAAGGTTAAAACAATTTTAACCCATCGCCGACGTGTTAAAATTATGGCAAGTTGACGTATGCACGGGCTTGTTGGCGTGCACCGGCAGTTTCCACTGTTAGCACTCGGCTCGATCGGTAGTTTGCGAGCGACATATAGCACCTAAAAGCTTTTATTTTGCTAAAATTTATAAAAATATTAAAATTTTTAAGGTTTACCTTCATTATAGGTGCCATTGCCTAAGATCTTTACCATATAAATGAAGTCGCTACTATCGGAGAAAAACAACCTCCTTTCGACGAGCCAGTAGCGCGGGAATGGGCATGACATGATGCCCCCGGCGTTCGGTACAAACCAGCCATGGCATGTACGTATGTGCCACCCGGCGGCAACGGGTTAATACCAGAGGGGGGATTAATAGCCCTCTATAGTTATCACCCAAATCAGTATTTTTTTA